GAGAGAATGGCTCGGCCAGTCTCCTCCTGAGACGCAAAGGCCGCGTCATATTCCGAGCCAGGCTGAGGAGCGCCAGCTGGATCAGTGTCCGCTGGCTCCGTGGACTTCCTCTTTTTGAAAAGCAAGAGACTGAGATGATGGAGGACTTTCGGATCGTACTCCTCGTCGTACCTGTCGTCCCAAAGCTGCCTCAGCTCCCTGTGCAAGTCGTCCGCGCGATTCTGAACGACATCCTCGACGTAGTCGGGATCACCCGGTGAAGTCGGTGAAAGCGGAGGAGCAGAACTCGGCGACCGATCCCAATGCACAGAAGACTCGCGGTCCGCCTGTACGCTGACGTCGGCGTCGGAGACGTTTTCGACGACAATTTTCCGCCTCTTGCTCTCCCCAGGCTGAATAGCACCAGGGAGAGTGAGCACAACCGCCACCGCATCGTGTGCGTCGTTGCGCATGCCACGATCCGTAAAAGACGCGCCAACGGCAATGGAGCAGAAACGGGCGACTGCTCCGCAGACCGCGACGTGGTCGCCTTTGAGGTCGGCCGGAGTGGCATGGACCTCCCATACCTTCTCGTCGTTCTGCTCGCGCTGGTAAGCCTCCCGCGCCTCCTGGAAAGTGAGGTTGTCGTCGCCGACTACAAGCACAACGACTGCCTCGTTTAGATTCTCAAGAATCTTGGCCAGGCCGTCCAGGTGCAAGCGGAGATGGCGAACTGTCCGCTTTCGAGTCTGGATGCTCGGCGGTTTCTTGCCGCACACGATGTGCATGTTGGCGATCACCACGTGGAACTTGTCATGGCCTGGTTTGTTCACCTCAAAATGTGAAATAACAGCATCAATATCTCGGCCGCTAGGAGGCCTGTAAACTTTGCTGTCTTCGCACAGAGTCAGTTCCGCAGGCTGAGAAGCACCGCGGAACCCCCAGAGAGTCAAGTAGTTGTCGACCTCCAAGAAGCGAATGCCATCACCGAAAGGCTTACTGAGGATCTCTGTCACGTTGATCCCTGCTCGGCGAAAGCCTTCACGGAACGCACCGACCTCGCAGCCACAGACCATATCAGCATCAGCGGTCTCCACTATCTTGGCGCACAACCTTCCGAAGTTAGCGCAGTGAGTGGCCGCCTGCTTACCAGTCATCATGCCCTGCTCGAACCCGAAATTGAACGAGGCGACCGTGAAAGACGCAGGCTGCACAGCGCCAGAACCAGGCGTCTGTCCACCTTCCTCCGCAGGCTGAGAAGCACCGCGAGGCGGCGCAGGCTGAGAAGCACCGCGAGGCGGCGACACTTCGGACGAGCCTCGCGGAGCAGAGGCTGCGGATGAACGTTGGACATGGGGGTACGGCCAGGGGAACGCCATTGCAATCAAAACTCAGTGGACTGCAGTGAATGAATGTAGTGGCCAATTGAATGCAGAGGACTGCAGTGTCACTAGCAAGTCCTGAACCAAACACAGCTGTGGCGGAAGGAATATGAAGCGTCTGGCTATTCAAAATGTTGCCCGGCAATGGAGTTCTGGGAACTCGAAGACCAGGAAGTGGACTAGAGTTGGCTCTGGGCATCCAAAATGTAGCCCAGGAATGGAGTTCTGGGAACTCGAAGAGCACGAAGTGGCTTACAGTTGGCTCCGGGCATCCAAAATGTGGCCCGGGAATGGAGTTCTGGGAAATGGAAGAACACGAAGTGGCCTACAGTTGGCTCCGGGCATCCAGAATGTGGCCCGGGAATGGCGTTCTGGGATGTCGAAGAGCACGAAGTGGCCTACAGTTGCATCCGGCCCCCCAGAATGTGGCCCGGGAATGGCGTTCTGGGATGTCGAAGAGCACGAAGTGGCCTACAGTTGCATCCGGCCCCCCAGAATGTGGCCTGGGAATGGAGTTCTGGGAAGGCGAAGAGCACGAAGTGTGTGACTGTTGGTGAAAAACGAGCCCGGCTCATGCCGCCCGGAAACGCCCCAACACCTGCCCGGACCCCCCTGTGGAGTGATCTGTGAGCTCTTTTTACACCACTAGAAACCTATCAGTCTACGCTGTTAGGTAAAAACACAGTGGTCACCAGAGGTGGGATCAACAATAATTGTTCAATAAGAGTTGAGCAACTACAACTACTACTTCTGCTGCTACTACTACTACTACTACGACTACTACTACTACTACTACTACTACTACTACTACTACTACCAATACTACTACTACTACTACTACTACTACTACGACGACTACTACTACTACTACTACTACTATTACTACGACTACTACTACTCCTACTACTACTACTACTACTACTACTACTGCAACTACTACTACTACTACTACTACTACTACTACTACTACTACTACTACTACTACTACGACTACTACTAATAATAAAATAGATACACGACTACTCCTACTCCTACTCCTACTACTACTACTACTACTAATACTACTACTACTACTACTACTACTACTACTACGACTACTACTACTACTACTACTACTACTACGACTACTACTACTACTACTACTACTACTACTACTATAGCAACAACAACAGCAACGACAACAACAACAATAACAAGAGCAGCAGCAACAGCAACAACAACAACGACGACAACCATAACAACAACAGCAGCAGCAGCAGCAACAACAACAACAATAACAGCATAAACAACAACAACTACTACTACAACTACAACTACAACTGCAACAACGACAAACACAGCAGCAACAGCAACAGCAGCAACAACAACGGCAACACCAGCAACGACAACGACAACAACAGCAGCAGCTGTAGCAACAACAGCAACAACTACTACGACGACGACGACGACTACCACTACTACTACAGCAACAGCAACAGTAACACAACAACTACAACTACAACTACAACTAGAACTACAATTACCACTACGCGTACAACTACATATACATCTACAACTACAAATCCACTACAACTACAACAACAACTACTACTACTACTACTACAACTACAACTACAACAACACCAACAACAGCAACAGCAACAGCAACTGCAACAACACCAACAACAACAACAACAGCAACAACCCTATCATCCTCACCATCCTAATCACCGTCATTACGGATCTCCCAAGCCTGGAGACATGAGGTGACACACGCGACGGCCTCCCGCGACCCCTCGAACAGAGAAATGTTGGGCTGGCACGGTGGCGGGACTTGCCGCTGGCAGCTGGATAGCAAAATATAACAGAGGGACAGGGGGACATACATATTCTCGCGAATGGGCATCCTGAAGCCCACATGACGCCGATGGCCCGAGAGGATACATCGCGAGAGCGTTCGTCTCGCAGACCACCGGATACCCCGCTGGCACGATGAAAACGCAAGCGCCATTGATTCTAGCTCGTGAGGTGGCGATGCGGGCGGGGAACGACGGAAATTCACTGCGATGCCTCGGACCTCGGCAGTCCACATTCTCGTGCGTTATGTATCATCCTCCCCCCTCCGCCTCCTCCGAAAACTCTTGCTCCTGCTTTTCCTCTCACACACCGCCGCACTCTTCCCCTCGCTCTCTCTCCATCCCTCGCCTCGCTTCTTCCGCCATTCCTCCCCCATCCTCCCCCAACAACCACCCTAAGGCATCCCATGCGAGCGACGGCGTCCAAGAAGCAGCCAGCAAGCGCCAAGAAAACTCTTACGAGGCTTCAAGACGCCCACCAAGACAAGACGTACACAAGGCCTCACTTCGACTGCGAGTCAGCGAAATGGCGCAAGCCAAGTTGAATCAAGCAATGACTGGCGCAGGCCCGCAAATATCATTAAGTGAGCGCCCGTAGTCCTCCGCAGCTGGGGTGGCAACGATAATGAACGCCTGTGGGCTGGGGCGACATCCGTGGTGCTGCCATAAACCAGACAGGTCCTGAGTTCGGGGGCGCTCGAAGGGGGCGTCCAAGAGGGGGAGTCGCAAATCATGGCTCGAGGCACGAACGCGGCCCAGAGAGGCCACGGGACGCATTCGAATAAGGAGAAGGGGCCACGAAGTCCAGACACCTGTTATGGCCCTGGCCGTGGTATCCACCTTTCTGTTCGGCGGAAAATTGGATACAAGTTGCGGTCGTGGCTACGGCAGGGCTGCTGCGGTGCGAATTGGGCAGAGGGGAAGGGGACAAAGGGCGAATAATATCCACACACCCGTAGTCATCATCCTACTCTTGGCCTCCCCGATGAGGGGAAGGGGCCAGGGGACAGCCAGGCTGCAGTGGAGCCCCACAGCCCTGCACGGGGCCCCGTGCAGCGTTCCTGGGGACCTTCCTGGAAGGCTCCAAGGCCCAGAGCCCCCTCATCGAGGACTCTAAAATTCCCGGATTGGCCTCGCACACGCGCCCGCGGAGGGGCACGAGATCCAGGGAAACGGAGACGAACGACGACGGCGAGTGCGAGAAACGACACGACGACGACGACGACGACGACAACGACGACGACGACGACAACGACGACGACGGAGGAACGAACGAACAAACGAACGAACGCAGCAACGCGAACGACAACGCCGACGACGACGGCGGCGGCGGCAGCCGCCCGCGCGGGGGCTGGAGCGGCGGGGCGCATGTCGCGCGCCGCGCGTCCCCGGAGGTCCCCGCAGGGTTCCCTGGAGCTCTCCGGGAAGGCCCAGCGGAGTCCGGGAGCGTGCTCAGCGACTCGGTGGCTCGTGAAGTGACGGTCGGGCCAGCCACACCCTAAGAGCGCCCCAGCCTCAGGCCGGGCGTGTCCCCCTCTAGGGGCATCCTGGGCGAAAACTGAAACATGGTCCAAAGATATTCAAGCATGATCAAAAAAGAGTCCCCAGACCATCTTGTACTCTTTTCTGGACATTCCGCCTGTAGAGGGACAACGCAAGACTCAACCCTACCCTCGACTCCCCTCCGGACCCCCTTGTGGCGCATGGCTCCCACGCCCCAGGAGCCCCTCGCCTCGGGCCCCCTCTTGGCCCGCGCCGGTGGTGGCGGCCCTCCCCGGGGAGGACCGCCGCGGGCGGCGGGGTCCTCGGCTGATAGAGCCGGGGCTGCACCGGGGGCAGCTCGGAGTCCTGCGGGAGGGGGCGGGCGCGAGAGGAGCAGGCGTGGGGACGATGCGGGCGGCAGAGGGCGCAGGTGCTGCCGAGGTGCGGCGGTGCGCCGCTGTCAAATCTGGGCGGCACAAGCTCGAGCCCTCGCGCAGGCCCCTGGAGAGAGGGACGGAGTGGCCCAGCCCTGACCGTGAGGCGCGGAGAGGCGCGGAGCGGCGGGAGAGCGGCGCGAGGCGCGATTGTCTTCGCGCTCCTGCGGGTGGCCCAGGCAGATTAGACTGAACTGAAAAGAAATTGACGTCGTCATTGTCGTCGTCGTCGTCGTCCGCCGCCGACAATGTCGCCGTCGCCGTCGTCCACCGCCAACAACGTCGCCCACCTCCTACTCCTCCCCCTCCTTCTAGTCCTCCTCCTCATCCTCTTACTCCTCCTCCTCCTCCTCCTCCTCCTCCTCCTCCTCCTCCTCCTCATCATCATCATCATCATCATCATCATCATCATCATCATCATCATCATCATCATCATCATCATCATCATCATCATCATCATCATCATCATCATCATCATCATCATCATCATCATCATCATCATCATCATCATCATCATCATCATCATCATCATCATCATCATCATCATCATCATCATCATCATCATCATCATCATTCCATCAGCATCATCTCATCATCATCATCATCATCATCATCATCATCATCATCATCATCATCATCATCATCATCTCATCATCATCATCATCATCATCATCCTCATCACATCATCATCATCATCATCATCATCATCAGCATCATCATCATCATCATCATCATCATCATCATCAGCATCATCATCATCATCCTCCTCATCATCATCATCATCATCATCACCATCATCATCATCATCATCATCATCATCATTATCGTCCTCGTCCTCATCCTCATCATCATCATCATCATCATCAGCAGCATCATCAGCAGCATCATCATCATGATCAGCATCATGATCAGCATCATCAGCAGCAGCATCATCAGCAGCAGCATCAGCAGCAGCAGCATCAGCATCATCATCATCATCATCACCATCAGAATCGTCATCGTCATCACCATCACCATCACCATCAGCAGCTTCGGCATCATCATCATCTTCATCATCATCAGAATCATCATCACATCATAATCAGCGTAATCACCACCGCCATCACCATCATCATCATCACCATCATAATCCTCATCGCTATCGTCATCGTCAGCGTCATCATCAGCAGCATCATCATCATCGTCAGTGCCATCATCATCATCAGCAGCAGCAGCATCCAAATCATCAGCAGCAGCAGCATCCAAATCATCATCACCACCACCACTATCATCATCATCGTCAGCTACATCAAAATCCGCATCATCATCAGCATCATCAGCATCATCACGATCTGTTCGATCCTATCTGCGCGCGTGCCGTTGTACATCCCAAATCCTGGAAACCCGCCCTCTTCGTCTTCGATCTTACCCCCCTTTGGGGGCATGTCTTCCTCACTGGCCTCGTGCACGTAGCGCATCCCCTAAAACAGTGGACGGGAGGACGAATGGAAGGGGGAGGGCGAAGGCTGGAGCACTACAGAAATCGGCGGGAGGGGAGCTAGGATCAGAAAACACGTGGCAGAACCAGACGGGCAGATCGGGCGGGTAGACCCCAGCGGGCGGGTCGGAAGGCGAGCTCCGGCGGCCGGGTCGAGCAGGCGGGCTGCTGAAGCGTGAGTCCTGCATGAAGCGCGAGGAAGTCTGGAGCGACAGCGCGATTCCCAGGTAAATCGTGAGAGAGGCCAAAACGAGAGCGTGATTCCTGAGTGTCGAGGGCACGGCGTCTGAATAAATTGCGAAGACATTCCGCGCGAGAGCGCGATTCCTGCATAAATTGTAAGAAGTCCCGCGCGAGAGCGCGATTTTGGAATACCTTGTGAGGAAGTATCAGGCGGGAGCCGCGGTTGATGTAGATCGGGGCCCAACAGCGCAGTGTGGTGACACCAAGCTTTGGTGACACCAAGCTTCCGTCATCGTCATCGTCATCGTCACCGTCACCATGATCGTCATTGTCATCATCGCCGTCATCAAAATCGTCTTAGTCATCGTCATAACCACTACACTCATCGTCGTCATCCTAATCCCGAGGCCCAGCATATCTGGCGCCTCTCCCCGTCCCAATTCCCCCTCTTCCCGCGCGCGACTACGACGACGACGACGACGACGACGACGACGACGACGACGACGATTGGACGACTGCGACGCCGACGACGACGACAGCGACGATGACGACGACGACGACGACGACGACGACGACGACGACGACGACGACGACGACGGCGGCGGCGGCGACGCCGACGGAGCTCCTCGTGCGATCCGGAGGGCTGCCTCGAGACGGGCGGGAGGGCCCTGGCGCGTCGGGGGGACGGGGGCGCGAACGGTGCGAGGGGAGGGAGGGAAGGAGCCCAGGAGGAGGCGGGCCAGGGAGGAAGAGGGGGGGGAGGGGGAGGAGGAGGAGGAGGAGGAAGGAGAGGAGGAGGAGGGGGAGGAGGAGGAGGAGGAGGAAGGAGGAAGGAGGAGGAATTTGTGGAAGGAAAAGAGGAGAGAGAAAGGGGGGAGGGGAGGGGAGTCCAGAGGAGGAGAGGAAGGGGGGGGATTAGGAAGGAGGGCCAAGGGGAGGGAGGCCCGAACCAGGGACAACCAAAGGGGAGGGGGGGAGGCGAAGGAGGTGGGAGGAGGGAGGAGTGGAGGAGAGGAGGGGGGAGGGGTTTTGGGGTGAGGGGAGGAGGAGGAGGAGGAGGAGGAGGAGGAGGAGGAGGAGGAGGAGGAGGGGGGGAGGGAGGAGGAGGAGGATGAGGAAGAGGAGGGGGAGAAGGGGGAGGAGGGGGGCGCGCCGCCGCAAGCGAGCAGGAGCAGCTAACGTGGGCCCCTTGGGGGGCGGGCGAAGGGAGCGGCCGGGTAAAGGCGAGGGATGAGGCTCTACGCCTCCTCCTCCTCCTCCTCCTTCTCCTCCTTCTCCTCTTCCTCCTCCTACTGCTCCTGCTCTTCCTCCTCCTCTTATTTTTTTCGACTTGGTCTCATTCTTATTATTAAATTATGCGTATCATTCTTCTCTTATTTCTCGCATCATTACTATTAGTTTGGTTCTTCTGATTATCATTAGTATTGGTGTTAGTGTTAGTCGTGTTCGCCTTCATGTTATTGTATCATTCGTAATGCTAATACGATTATTATGAATAGCCGTTTAAAATAGTGGTGATACTTATATGTTTCGTATTATCGTTATTACTAGGAGTAGTACCCGCACGTTTAATAATAATAGTATCAGTACTGTAACTATTAGCTTAAATAGTATCCTTCGTATATTATCATTGCTCGTCTTATTATGATTATTAGGATTCCTCCTCCTCTTCGTCTGATGAATTGTATTATTACGCTGTACTGTTAAATTCTTAAAAGTAATATTAGCGGTAGTAAGAATTGCATCGTTCTTGGTATCATTATTATTATGATGAGTTATACTAGTATTAGTGTTACTGGTCGTCCTAGCGTCTCTTCTTAAGAACATGGTTTTATAATTAGTACTAGATGCGTTATGGTTCTATGTGTAGTAATAATAATATCAATTTAATCATTATGATAGTATGAGTAGTATGCCTCTGCTTCGTCTGATTACTCTTAGTAGCATGCGTATGCTTATGTTTCTGCTTATGTTTCTGCTTATTCCTCCTCCTCCTCCTCCTCCTCCTCCTCCTCCTCGCTCCCTCCCTACCCCCTCCCTCCTCCTCCTCCCTCCTCCTCCCTCCTCCTCCTTCCTCCTCCTCACTCTCCTCCTCCTCCCTTTCCTCCCTCCTCCTCCTCCCTCCTCATCCCCCCCCCCCTCAACCTCTTCCTCCTCTCCGCCTCCTCCTCTTCCCTGCTTCTCCTCTCCTCTTCCCTCCTCCTCTCCTCCTCCTCCTCCTCCTCCGACTCCGACTCCTCCTCCTCCTCCTCTTTCTCCTCCTCCTCCATCTCCTCCTCCTCCTCCTCCTCCTCCTCCTCTTCGCTGCTCCTCTCCTCCTCTCCTTCTCCTCCTCCTCCTCCTCCTCCTCTTCCTCCTCCTCCTCCTCCTCCTCCTCCTCTTCCTCCCTCCTCCGACTTCCTCCGACCCTCCTCCTCCTCCTTCGCCCTCGCTTCGTCCCCCTCCCCCCTTCCTCCTCCTCCTCCTCCTCCTCCTCCTCCTCCTCCTCCTCCTCCTCCTCCTCCGCCTCCGCCTCCGCCTCCGCCTCCTCCTACTCCTTCTGAAATGCCGCACTACAACTGGAGCACGCTTCATCGCAAGGATCCGACGTCGCATCGATCCATCACCTTCCTGCGCACCCCTGCTTCTCACTCCACTGGGAAGGGCCCCTGGCCTCTGGTGCTGCTTACGCAACGCGTCGAGGGCGTCGTGCTCGCCTACCGCGGCCGGCAGATCGTCGTCGTCGTTGTCGTCGTCGCCGCCGCCGCCGCCGCCATCGCCGCCACCGCCGCCATCGCTTCCGCCGTGGTCGTCGCCGTCGTCGTCGCCGCCGTCGCTGCCGCCGCTGCCGTCGTCGTCGTCCTGCGCTGACGGGCGAAGCCCCGCCAGGGCGCGCGCGCGCGCCTGAATGGGACGGCACGTAAGAGCCGCCGCGGGGGCTCCCACTTCGGCCGTCCTGGTCCTGGGAGCGGCGCGGGGCGTGGCGCGGCGCAGGGCCGGCGGCAGGCCGACCCGAGGCGCTGGCGAGCCGACACCGTGGCGCCGAGGCGCAGACGGGCCACACGACGCCGAGACCGACGCCCACGACGACGACGACGACGACGACGACGCCGACGCCGACGCCGACGCCGACGCCGACGCCGACGCCGACGCCGACGCCGACGCCGACGCCGACGCCGACGCCGACGCCGACGCCGCTGCCGCTGCCGCTGCCGACGCCGACGCCGACGCCGACGCCGACGCCGACGC